CCAGCCCCAACCCCACTTCTGAAAACCCAGCCCGGCTCTCAGCAGCACGAAACCCCAACGTGTGCACAGGGTGAGATTCACCTCCGCCCTTTTGCACCCCACATTTTGAGGAGATTCCCAAACACCAGGGCAGCGCTGGGCTCTGGTGCTGCTGCAGGGTGTTCCCCCGCACCCCCTTGCACCCTCCTGGCCGCAGCACCTCGGGCGTGCTGGAAGCATGCGGGGCGGTCGAGTCACACTTGCTACAACCCTCTTTCTTTGCAGAAAGTCAGAGTTTTGCTGCTGCTCTTGCAGAATCTCTGCTGCCGGGCTCTGCACGCACGGCCGGCGCTTTGCACCTAACCAGTGCGTTTGCAACCGCCCGGCTGCTCAGCTTTGCACGGGGCTACAAGACCTGCACACCCCATCCCTCCCGAGCCTATGGCACACGGATCTGCCCACCACCACTGCATTTCAGTAGGTATTTTGGAAGCTCCCGATTCTCTTTCCCCCAGCAAAATTCTCTTCTCCTGCTGCAGAAGCACCCAGAAGGCTGCCAGCACTCAGCCCTGGCATACGCTAAGGTTCCTCATACCTTTTTCAACTCCTGCTGCCCTATAATACCAATCCTTCCTGCCACGAGAGGCTTTTTGGGTTTATAGCAAGCAATTGTGGCCGGCTAGCTCCCGTTAGCCCTCACCATGCATTTTTAATTAGCAGCATGGATGTTCTTCCAGTGCTGCTTTAATGTGTGTGCTTAGGAGGCAAACGTTTTTACCCATCACTTCTAACCAAGAGCCAAGCTGGCTCTTTACATGCCCTGGCTCTGGCTTGGTTATCAGTGCCCTGTAGGCACTCACTCCTGCCTGTCTGCAGGTTGCTCGAAACTCTCAGGAATTTACCGGAGCCACGACATTAGGATCAGGAATTCATCCTGACAGCCAGATCCATGCAGGGAAACAGGCTTTCTTTGCACAGCAGGCTCTGTACCGGCCACGCCGCATTTGCAAAGCGCTCAGAGCCTCTCCCAGCGCAAGCGGAGGGTGCTGGGGGCCGGACAGACACCCGTGCTTGTAGCAGTGGCTCCTTGCAACCCCATGCAGCTCCAACAACCGCTCGCACCTCTCGGCAGCCTCGGTGCCCGTGAGCAACGCCGGCCGGAGGAGCAGGCAGCCCCGGCTCCTCTGCCCGCATCCTCCCGCGTTCGCCATGGCACCCACGGCTCTGAAGAGCGATTTTCTCCGTGCACTTGTGTTTTCGTTTGTCCTGGACTAACCGATTCCCGACTCGGGGCTGCGGTCCCCGTGCTGCGGGGATGGCGGTACCGGCCCTGGCGAGCACGGAGCAACGCTCGGGGCAAGGGACCCAGCTGGGACTGGGAAGGCTGACCCCTCTCTCACCCTGCAGAGCCCACCAGGCCAGCCCACGGCCCCAGCACGTGCCTGCCACGGGTGTTTTTCTTCCCGTCTCAGCTCCCAGTAGCGTGGCGGGGAGGGGGGGAAGAGGAGAGCAGCAGCTCCCGGCAAGCCAGGCTCCTCCTCACTACCTGCAAGCACAGCGGCTGAACGCTTCCAAACGGGAAAGCAAATAAACCATCTCGGGGAATAAATACAGCTTCTCGATTCAGTGTTTTGGGGGAAATCGTAATTTCACGCTCCTTTCCTGATTGCACTCTGGAACCAGGGGAGCCAGGCTGAGCATCTGAAGCAACCAGCACCACTGGTGTGCCCAGCCAGCCCCACAGCACACACGGGTAGCCCCTCACCAGCCCTGCCACCCGCTCCCAGACCCCAGCACGACTGTTTAATGACAAAACTGCAACCCAGTCCCTGCCCCGTGCCAGCATGCCTGCAGAGGCAGAGAAGTAGGACAGCGGGCCTCTTTACCAGCATTATTTTTTTCTCTCTTGTCTCTACAGAAATCAGCTTTGGTCTCAAGCCAGTTCAGGGAAGGGGCATCTGCTCCAGAATAAGAAGAAAAGCAAAATGCTCCTTAGCCCTTGTTTTGGAGTGCAGAGACAGCCAGAGCAGCCACAAAGCTGAAACTCCCCTCTAAAAGAAATTAAAGTCCTTCAGGCTTCCAGGGACAGGATCTGGAAAATCATAACACACCACAGTTTAAGGGGTTTTTGTTTTGGTTTGGGTTGGGGTTTTTTTTAACCAATACTGTGATTTCTACCTAGCAAGGCAACATTTCACACAGGCAAGGTTGATGAAAACAATGTGAAAGGCAAGCACATCTATGAAATAACACACATGGAAAGTACCACAGGGCCGATTAGCTTTTTGTGATGCTATCTACAAATTCTGGGAGCCACATTTCTAGACCCGGTAAAATTGTGGGAAAATGGATCTTAAAATCACAGCACAGTTACACATGGGAATTCCACAGTAAGCAATTTCCTTGAGAGATTGCTCGTGTTTTTCCTGCAATCTCCCTCTCTTCTGCAAGGCTGCAGCATTAACCTACAAGGATGCAGCCTCCCATCTCTTTATTCCGGTGGGAAAGCAGAGAGTTCCCCGCCAATCCCCCTAAACCTGAGACATGCACTGGACAAAGTCCATGCTGGTTACCAGTGGGAGCCCATTCTAGTTTGCTGCCCTGTGTGATGAAGGTGAAGGCACAGCATCCCAGGGGTTCTCCACCCCTGCCCAGCCCTCCACCAGCATCCCCGGGGATGACATCCCCCCATGCGTATGCCTCATTTTTCTATTAAAAAAAAAAAAAAGGTAGAAGCCCATTTTGCTGCCTCCAAGGAGCAAAAGGACTGAGCATCCATAGCCTTTGCAGCCTAGAGGCACCCTGTGAGACAGTCCCTGTCCCCGGGGAGGGCGGGGAGCCCGACAGTGCTGGGAACAGTGTCCGTCCCTCACCACCTCCCGAAGTGAATCAGCAGCATTTTACCACCAAGGCCCCAATCCTCATTCAATTAAAAGCCAAGGGAGGTCCTTAATTCTTTCCATTATGGGTAAGTAATAGCTGGTTCTTTGCCGAGGAGCGGGAAAGGGAGGCACCTTATGGTCCCGTGCGCCGGGGACACCATGACAGAACGTGTCTGCCCAGCGTTGCAACTGGTGCCAGGAAGATTATTTGGATACTGGGGCTGTGGCCCTGCCAAGTGTCCTGGAGAGCCCCCGATTTAGCAGCTATAGTGGTAAATAGGGGATCCTGCACGGTAGGTCCTGCAGAGAGCATGGTTTTCAGCGCTCACAGCAGCATCTCCCATCCTTACCCTCCAGTAAGATCCAGATGGCAGATCAGCAAATCCCAGACACCGAACGGATTGGCTCCAGCCTTCCCAGTAAGGATATCCCAAAGAGCAGGAGGCCAGACTTTCTCGGGAACTGCCAGTATGAACCCTTGAGGTTGATCATCAGACCATAAATTGCCTGTCCTCACACACCGCAACCCCCGGCTCTAGGGCGGGGAGTGCTGCTGCTAATTGTTTCAGGCACCGAAGGATGGGGAGGAGGGGGCATGGGGAGTGCCGATGGAAGCAGCCCCTGGTCATTTGCACAAGAAACGAGGTGCAGGGCAGGGTGCCGGTGCCAGGCACGGGGCACACACGGGCTGTGTGCGATGGTGTGAGCCGGCAGCTGCAGCCCAACCACGCTGAACACCAGGGAACCACAACACCAAGCAGGAAAAATCACCTTTCCTGCTCTACGCAATTATGCCTGGATAATAGGTGCTGTAGTTAAGTCTCTAATCCCATTGATACACCAGAAGCAGCCAAGAAACGTTTGAGTTGGTTTTGGTTTTTTTTTTTTTTTGTTTTTTTTTTTTTTTCAGTCTGAACATCCAGGTGGTTCAATCCTGCCTAATTCCCCCCACCGAAGCAGCAAGATCCAGATGCTGCCATCTCTATGAAGAGGAAAGTCAAATCCTCGTGGCAAGGTCAAGCCCTGGCTATGAACTCTCCCCTTCCTACCCTAGTCTGGATTTCACAGTCCATCTACCTGCACACACCATCCTGCACCCCCAGAAGGACTCTAGGATGGACCAAGCAGGAGGGATACCCCAACGCTGGCAGCTCAGTGCCTTCACCTAGGGTTATAAACCAGCCTTTCTCCTCACAATGTAGTAACTATTGAAGCATGTTTCCCCATCACAAACCATCCAATTTGCCTCCCGCACAGCAATGCCACTCTGCAAATCTCCAGGCATTATGGGAACCAGGGTATAAAAACATTCCTGGTGCAACGATGCTGAAACTGATGCTGAAATTAGGCTGGGAGCAGAACTGGCACGGTTGCTTCTAGCCTGTAAACTAAAATGTACATACATGGCCAATTGCCCACAAAGATACTGCACTTTGTGATCGCCTGTAGCTTTTTTTCCTGTTTCTGGGTTTACCCTCAAGTTACTCCCTGGGCACTCCAAGGGCTTGGGCATCAGCAACTTCAAACCACTGCAAATCACAGGAACCCAGCCCAATCGTTCCCTTGCTCCATCAGTGCCGACAGATGTTTGCAGCACGAACACCAAAAGCCCCAGCTCCCTGTCGGGCACCGAAATGCTGCTCCTGCACTGGGGAAGGGGTCCAAGCCCAGCTCTGGGGCTTTCCGAGGCTGCCGTAGGGATGCAGACACATCCACTGCCTGGTCCACGGGGACGGCGGATGCGCAGTGCCAAGAAACCACATCCAGTCTTGCAGAGCTGCCCCGGGGAGCACAGGAGGAGGAGGAGGAGGGAAGGAAGGCTGCTACCTCCACCACTCCCCAGGGACAGCCCTTGTGCAGGAGGCTTGCTGCAGGCCCTGCTTGCAAGGTTTTGCTCTCTGCAACACGTCGCATCACCACCCCAGAGATGGGGACCAAAGCCCTTAGAGCCCCTTTTGCTCTACATGCAACACACACCTCTTTATTCCCCATCTCCTGCCCAAATAGGACGGACTGACCCCATCTCCATCATAAAGGTAACTTAGCATCTCACAGGTTTCCGGGACACAGAAATGCCATCTCCAGCTCCCCTTCCCCTTCCCCAGCTGCCCAAAGAGACCCCAGAGCAGTGATACTCACATTGTACAGGACTGTGGTCCACCCTTCCATGGTGATGCACTGGAAGACGGTCAACACAGCAAAGAGGATGTTGTCGAACTGCGTGATCCCATCGTTGGGACCGATCCACTCCCGGCATTCGTAGCCTGGGGGGCAACCCTGCACCCCACATGGATGTGGGGGGTCCAGCTCCTCTAGTTCACCTGCGAGCACACAGCAGAGAGTCAAAGGAGGCAGAGCTAAGAGGGAGGCAGGGGACAGGCAAGGGGAAGAGCCAGAACGCAGATGAGCTTGGGGCAGAGCAAGGGACCCTGCTGGGACTAGCCCTGCACAAACTGCTCCCATAACAAATTGGGACATCATGAACACAACTGGGTGGTGCCTGGTGTGCACGAAGCAAAATGGGCTTCCCACGATAGCTACATGCACTTGCTCCAGCTGTTTTCCACCCCGTGGGATGCGGTATGGGTGCAGAGCCCTTCTCCCCACCTGAATTGTTTGTGTAGCAGGCTCGGTGCAGCTTCCCGCTGTAGAACTCCAGGCCGATGATGGCGAACATGAGGATAGCAAAGAAGAGCAGCAAGCCGATTTGGAGGAGAGGCACCATGGCCTTCATGATGGATTTCAGCACAATCTGCAGGCCTGGGAGGAGAAAGAAAAAGCACAGCTCAGCACAGTGGTGCAAACCTCCTGCCTGGGGCACGTCCAGCCCACCTCTGGCAAGAGAAGGACAGTGAACAGAGAGGACAGACAGTCATCAGACAGATGCAAGAGGCCAGCACAGCCTGGAGGATCCCTCTGGGCAGCTGAGGTCTATGGAGGAAATCACCATCCCAGGCGGAGCAGCGGGGGCCAGGCCACAGAGCCAGGCTCCAGGAGGGCTAGTTTCTGGATCTGATCCACACACACACACACACACACTTTGGTGTCCTGCTTGCCCTTGTCCCACCCGGACTTGGTGGGACATGGCCCACACTGCTCTGTTCTCCTGATTGCCCCCCAAGGCACAGATCCAGCACACCGCCCGGCTGGTGCTCAGGGCAGGAGGGACGGGAGGACCAGGGCTGGCAGCAGCCTAGTTTCTTTATTTATCCCCCCACCCCAGCGGCAGATAAAATCTTGCAAGAACCCGAAATCTCCCCTAAATAAACCTCAGTCCTGAAAGGATCCACCCACTGCCTTCTGGCCAGGGAAGCAGAGCTGCTGGTGAGCCCCAGCGAGCCGCTGAGCCCAACCTTGGGCCAGCACAGGGCAGGCTGGGTGGGGGGCAAATGCCACCTGGGGACACCAAAGGCTGCCATCCTAGAGCCAAGGGGTGGCTGGGAATACGCCACGTACGCTCCCCACTCCACGGGGAGGTTTGTCCCCCCTCTTCCCTGATTGCACCCGATGTCTCCAAGGTGGCCAGAGGACCCCCCCCCTCAGCGCTCTGAAGGACATCAGGGACAGATGGGGACACGCCAGGAGCGGGACCAGGAGCATCCAACTTACTGGGAATGCCTGAGACGAGCTTCAGAGGTCTGAGCACACGCACGGCCCGCAGCGTCCGCAGGTCCACGTGGGTGTTGAAGTGTGTCCCAGCAGTGGCGAGGATGCTGCGGGCAGACGGGGAGAGAGCAGAGTTACCCCGGGCAGAGCCCTCGGCCACTCGGGTGCCGTGAGCCATGTTCCACGCTCCCCGGGGGGGGGCGAAGCCACAAGGAGGACCACATCTCTAGGCAGGTACAGAGATCCAACACCTCGCAAAGCCTGCAAGCCCCAGTTGATGCTGGAGTCAAAGCTCACGGGCCACTACGGTCAGCCAAAGCCACCCAGGGGCCAGCCAGCCCTGGCAGCCCCCCCATCGATGCCCCCCACATGACAGGATGGTTGGGGACAGCCCCACACCACAGCACTGGCCATCACCCACGCCGGGCGATCGCGCTTTGGGGGTCTCAAGGCTGCCGACACGGTGCTCAGCCCAGCTGTGTGTGTTTAACCTCCTTTCCAGGCAGGTGGCACGTAGACCAGAGATGGTGCCCCAGAGATGGGGGTCACCCCCCCCACCCCCCCCCGTGATGGTCACCCATGCTCCCCTGGCAGCATCTCCAGCCATCAGCTGCTCTGTTTTTTTCCACGCACAAAGCTTCCTTGAAGCCCCACCTCTGGGATTGCCGAGAACCTCACACACATTCAAAAATCTATAGTAATGAAAGTTTGATGACCTTGGAAGGCAACCGGCAGGCACAGGAAAGACTCCAGGGGTTTTCTTTTAAAACACAAAGATTTTTTTCAAGCCCATCTCTGGAAAACAAATTGGGGCAGGAGGAAGCCAGTGCACACCGAGTCCAGCAGTGGAAATATTCGGAGCCACTGCACCGGCTGGGGGGACGGGGATGGAGCAGCTCAGGGATTCTGGCAAAGCCACAGGAGCACAGACAGTGGTCCCGGAGCTCGTGGACTCCTGTCCCATCCGAACTCGGTCCCCAGGTGCTGGGCGAGGAGGAGGAGGGAGAGGGAGCGCTGCAGTGGAGGAGCAGGGGATGTGAGAGGAGAGGATGGGGAGGAGAACGGGACAAAGGGAGGCAGCAACCTCTGGGCTGTTTGCAGCAATCCAAAAACTGAGGGAAATTGGGTCATTGTTCCACTAATTCATCTAATTACAGGCCAGAGCAGCTCTCTGGCGTGCTGAGCAATTAGCACTCTTTCTCTCCCCCTCTCCCCGAGGTACGGCAGGTACCAACCTGCCCCTCCAGAAAAGCAGCTGGGTTTCCTAGGTTACCCTGGCAGCAGAAATGCCCTCACATCAGCAAACCAGGTTGTTTCAACTCCTTTTCCTAGCCTCCTCTTCCTCCCTGCCTCTGAGCAAAGTGTCAGCTGCAAAGTCTGGCCCCAGCAGCAGTTGGGATGCGTTGCCCCAGCATCACCCACAACTGTAACAGGCTGCTTATCCCCAATATATCTTTTACCCTTAATGGCACTTTTTCCTTCCCCCATCCCCTTTCAGCACGGTCCCTGTGACCCAGCCCAGCCCCACGGGGCTGACAGGAGAGCAGAAAAGGGCCTTAATTAAGTCAAGAGCACCCAGAGTCTGGGGAGAGCTGTGTTGTTAAACTGGTTGTAAGATCAAAATCAATAAATATGATAAAGCACGGCCACTCGGCAGCACATGGGAGAGAGTAGACCACGGGCGCTTTCATCTCTTTCATGCAACCTGCCAGCGAGAGCAGGGTAACCCAGCGCTCCCCAAAACACCGGTGTGGAGGACACGCTGCGCCTAACACTGCGTTGGGGACCCCGAGACCCTCCTTCAGCTTTTGCTCCTCGCGTCCCGATGCCTGGTGTCCAGGCAGCCTCCCAAAGGGATGAGGAAAGGGCGTTTGCAGCCCCTGCACTGACTCCAGACGGGGCTGAGCATCTCCAGGGATGCTCCTGGGCTGGATGCAGGCTCCGGTCCTTCTCCCGAGGTCTCACCCATGCAAGCCCAGCACCGTGAGAAGCCCAACTGGAAGGCTCCTGGCAGCAGAGTGGGATCGACAGCTCTCTCTCACCCCCAAAGAGCAGCATGAGCTGTGGTCCTACACAGCCGGGCAGAGTGATGGAGGTGGAGCCATCACCAGTCCCGGCCCCACCACACATCTCCTCGCCGGGACAGGACCATCCCCGGCTGCCTGCCAGGGCGGAGGGATTGCAGAGCGCCCTGGCTGCAAAGTCCTCCGCTAACCCAGATTTGTTTGAAGGGCTGGGGAGCCGCCGCGCCGAGCCTTCAGGCAAGGTTCAGGCGATTTCAGGGCACTCCTTCCCGGCGCTCTAAATTAGCTGCTAAGAATGGGACTCCTCTGTGGCAAGGTGACATGCTCCTTGTCCTCGCTGGGGGACAAGGGACATCACGAGATCTTTCGGAAGGAGGTTTGGACAGATCACCAGAGTGAGGCGGTCGCGCCGCAGACGTGGCTCCCAACTGACGACAGAGATGACCCATGGCTACCAAATAGGTGCCTGCGCATCCCTTTGTGGCCACAGCCGTGGCTCCCGGGGCAGGGGGGGGAAGGATGCGCTAGGACCACTCATCGGAGTTGCTCCCAGCAAGCCCACCCACCCCAGAGCATCCGACCAGGGTCTGAGTAGCCCTGGGACGTTTTTAGACTGATTGAGGATGCTGGAAAAAGCTAAGCAAGCTTCGAGGAACGCGAGCCTGGCTTCTGTCTGCTTTTCCCAAGCCCTTCAGTGGCTCTAAGTAACAGACATCACAGCTCCCTGAGAGCCAGGCTTCGCTAGTACACACAGACACCACCACCACGTTGCTGCTAAAAATAAATACAACACTCAAAATTCCTGCTTTGGACTTCAGCATCTCACCTGTTAATTGCTTATTAACCCTCTAAGCACACCTTTTCTTTTTTTTTCTTTTTTTTTTTTTTTCTTGCAGAGAACCGCTCATATCACCCAGCACAAACCATTTCTGATTTATTTATTGACACACATTAAGGTTTCTTATAGCTCCTCAGGATGCGTGGCACAGAGATGGGACTTGGGCTGTGACAGACCTTTGTGCTGATACAGGGCGACAGCGCCGGTATCTGTAGAACAATTTAAACCCTTTTTGAACACTTACACTATCCACGCCTGACGTGCTAATAATTATTCTTTATTTTTAGGCAAGGACCCAAACTAAAATTACATCTCACCATCCAAGTTATTTGAAAAAGCTGCCAGATTGGGCTATAAAAATCCCAATGATCTCATGCTTTTCATCATATGTACTGGAGAAAAAAAGAAGAAAGGAAAAAAAAAAGTGAAGGCGTTTTTATAGGTCACCCAGGCAAAGGGGTTAGTTTTACTTCTTCAGAGGAAAGGGGGAAGAGAGACTTCAGGTGGAGAAAAGAGCAGAGAGGAGCTATTGGAAGAATGCAAATGAGAGAGGAGGCAGGATGGGAAATATATGCTAATCCCCCAAAGTATAATTGAATAGTGAGCAATCACCAGCAGACAAAAACATGCTTGGGGGGGGGGGGGTGTTGGAAATAAATCCGGTGCTTAGTGTTTGCAACCGGGATGATTATTTTATTTTATTTATTTACAGGCTCTGGAGAGAAGGGCAAGCTCCCGCTGGGCCCGCCGCACCTGCAGGCTTTGGGGCTGGCTGCCGGCGGAGCGACGCTCAGCCCTCGGGCACCGCTCCAGCGCGCAGCAGCTGAGCAAAGCGCACGCCCTCGCCTCTAGCTGAAGACCTGCACCTATGGATTTCTTTTCCCAGGAGGGGAAAACAAACAAAAAAAAAAAAACAAAAAAAATAATTAGAAGTAATAATAATCACATTTTAAATGACTCTCTGCTCTTTGGGACTTAGCAGAATAAACCACGAGAGATGCTCGATGATCCTGCCCCCACCCAAAGCCCTTTTACTCACACAGAGCCAGCAGCAAATTCGGGCTTTATCACATGCCACAGCACCCACGGTGTCTCCGCTGCCTGTGCTGGGGGCTGCGCATCGCACCCGCTCCCATCCCCATCGTCCCAGTGGGAGCGGCACCAGCAGCCTTGAAGCCTCAGCCCTCAGAAACAGCACACACAGCTCAGGGGCATGCTGCAACGGGCTTCGTCCTGGGGACCCCAAGCAAAGGCTGAACCCCTAAATGACCAGCTCGACCCTCGAGTCATCCCCTCCACCCCAAACTGATCATCCCTTGACCATTATTCATCAGGGACCGCAGCAGAGGCACGTGCAGACAAGCCATCCCAGCAAAGGGCAGCTCTGGGGTGTGCTGGGTGGAGAGAGGGATCGGCCGAGACAGGATAATCTCAGCTCAAAATCTGGGGCAGGGAGGGTGCTGGCTGGCTGGCTGGCACGCAAATTAATATTTATAATTAAGTGGAAAGTCCCCTGAAGGCTTGCACTGCCACCTGACTCTATGAGGGAGACTACTTCATAATTAATACACTGGTCAAACGGCTCATGGAAAGTAAGTTACCTGATGAATTTACCCCATTCTTGCTCTTTTCTGCTGGTGAATCAATCCCTCCCCTCTCTGCAGACGGCATCAGGAGTAGCAGGTTGTACTCCAGGCTCTTGGGTCCAAACCCCACTCAGGACAGGGCCAGGGGGATCAAGTCGCCCACCCTGAGGATGACCCAGCAGAGCACAGTGGTCCTGCTTTGGGGATAGCAAGGGACAGGGACACCAGCTCCAAGTCCTGCCCTCGACACAGTTCGGAGCAACCTCAAAGCCTCCATCATCTTCACTTTCTCTTTCTAGGTTTCGGGGCCGTGACACAAGTGGATTGCACTGCTGCAAAGCTGCTGCTCCTCTCTTTCCTGGCAGCTTCAAGGGCCCTGAACTGGGCACCAACAACTTGCTGAAAGGGGTGATGAGGGTGAACAACAAAAACCTGCCTTCACCAGACTTTGATCTGAGGAATAAAATAATGCCCCCAAGGCCACCTCTTCCCGGAGAAGCCCCGTGGATTTGGTGCATGGAGGAGCATCCCCTGTGCACCCTGCGAGCTGGCCAAACCCCGAGCCTCCCTCTGGCACCTCTCGACTGATGCAGGATTTGGCAGGGGGAGAAAACATTGGTGAGGCTCTTTGCGCAAACAGGACCTGGTAGAAACCTGAA